CATTTGAATTGAGAAAAAATATATATTGGGGTTTTCTATTTTTCCAATTAAATTGAGAAAAAAATATATGAAAAAAAATATTGGGTTTTTATATTCTTCATTTCGTTTTCTAGATGGAATAATCAAATTCAAAATTTTATGGTTTGATTGCCCACTCCCATAATGGAATTGATTGGGACTACAGATATTTGTTTGTCACCAGAAATAAAACATATGAAATACACGTTTGTTACGCGTGATGCAATACTAAACATTATCGATCAGGACAATGATCGTCTCTCCTTATTAGACAAGTTAATAGTTTATTATTTGTACATGTTTGCTTGGATAAAATTATAAGTTGCTAAAATTAGAAATGTATTACGGATAAATGGGTAGTAATTGGATTTTATGAAATGTGTGATTAAAATTGATGTTTTACTCCGACCATAAATTATAGGGAAATTATAATGTCTTACAACTCTGTTCAGATGTTGGAGCTTCAAAATATTTTGAAATTTACTTTAAAAGTAAATTGAGTAAGTTTAAAAATAAGTAATTTTTTATTTAAAAAGTAATCTCTTTTATGTAAAAATAAGAAAAACATATACTACTTATAAGTAACTTTTTTTTAAAAAATATTTTAGTGGCCTTACATACCAAATGATATTTGTAGAATTCTTTCCGAGCGTTTTGAACATTCAAAAAAAGGTCATTTTCTATGGGACCATTTTCCCACAAAAAGACTACTTTTTCTTCCAAAAAGATGGAAAGTCTACTATTTTCGAGGTTAGCCATAAAAGGAAAACAGTCAACTTGGTCAAAATTAATTACTGAAAGTGTGAAACCCTGAAGCTGAATTGAAAATTGGAATTTCATGTCTACATTTGTGACCTAGTCAATCAGTCCTTCATTATTTAGCTCAATTAAATACTTAATTTTTCTCCTAACAAGCGCGCATACTTCGTAATTGTTTTTCTAGACTTTGAAATAGTTGGAAGTGCTTTATGTCATCCAAGTCTATTTAAATTTTGTGAGAGAGGATTTTGAATCTGACCCTAGAGACTTGGTACACGTGGAAAGAGGAACTGGTCCCAACTATACAAATTCTGAATTAGGGAATATTTCACCTGAAGGACCTAATCTTTTGGAAAAAAAGTGCAAACAAGGACCTAACCGTTCATTTTTTATACTTTATATTTTTTTGTTGATTTTTATGCAATGACCCACCGGTTCGACCAGCAACCCAAGAGGGTTATGGAACAGGCCCAGTTATATCGAATCGAGTCTAATAACTATGATTTTAAGGACCTAAATATAAAAATCCTCCAAACCTACACCGAAAGGAAAAAGGAATACTTGGACGTAAATTGTTGAGTTGAAAGCGTTTTGATGTTCACTCTATTCTCTGATTCTATCTTCTTCCTTCTCACGAGATGGCAAACTCAGCTTAACCGAAGTAAACAAGTTTGTTTTGAGAACATAGTAAAATGTTAATTCAAGAGAGAGATGAATGTCACTTTAACGAGGGTTTCTATACAAAAAATTGTTGTGGGTAAGGTTTTATAGGTTGTTCCTAATTGGCATGGATTCCTTTTACCGAGACTGGCCTTAAGTTAATTATGATTTTTCTCTTTAGAATAATGCTATCTAACATCACTAAAAAATGTAAATCGTACATACACGAGAATAAACTTCAAACATTATACGGTTTAGCCTTTTTGGTGCAACAAATAATTTCAAAAGCAAATAATTACGAGGCGAGTGCTAGCCAGAGCAAAGCTTTTCAAGAGCCATGTTTTCATCGCCATCAACACTAACCAGAGTACTCCTAACCAAAGCTTCAGGGAAGCCCATTTCCACGAGCTTTAATACCTGTGGTTCAAGTGACTGGAAATCAGTTTATTTTTGTATGTAAATGTGGAAGAGCTTATTGAGAGTGGAGATGATGAGAATTAAAGAAAGTCAAATCTAAACTTTAAACAATGCTTTTAACTGTATGTCAATTAATTTGAAATTTTGACAATTTTTTTTGTAAAATTTTTATTGTGTATGTATGCATGTATACATGAAATGATTTACTAATTCACTGATAGCATGGTACATCAAAACACTTATGGATAACAAATTTAATTTAAGGCCTTGTATGGGAGGGATTAAAATTGAAAATATAGCCGTTATTGTTGACTTTTATTAAACGAGTGGGACCTAATAACGGCCATGTTTTCAATTTTAATTGGCTTTTAATCCCTCCCGAACGGGGCCTAAATATTGAGATCCACCATAAACTAATCCACCAATGATTGATATGTCATGTCATTGGTGCTTAGCAACCGGTTTGACCTTGATTCAACCGCTTGACCCTTTAGTTTTCCCAGGTCAATGCTCGGTCAGGTTTCAAAACATTGGTCACTGGATCTAATGATTTTGAAAAGTAGACAAATTTTTCCAACCATCATTTTCTCTCCGATGCTTATTTTGTTAAAAATGCCTTGCATTCAGGAACAAAATTAAGGATGATACAGAAAAGGAAGTGAAGGACATTAGAAAACATGCAGGGAAGCC